CATTTAAAACATGCGATTTTTTATATTTATTTTATTTACATGTGTGTTTGTGCAATTAAAGTTTACGGCAAGTTATAAAAAACACAAAATGCTAAAATTAAGTTTTATAAAAAAACTAAATTTACAAGTATAAACAAAAAGATCATTGGTTCCAATTTTTATCAATAAAGTAGAAAATATTTTGATGTCTGAAGAAAAGTTTATGTTCCAACCAAGTATATAAAGTTGGCCATCTTAATATCTCAAAACATTAAAAAAATTTCTTTTGCCATTAACAAATCTAGTATTTTATAACTCTTTATAGCAAAATAAAAATACAGATTGTCAAACTTTAAAGTAAGTTTAGAATGTTGTGTGCATATGTTTTTTGTAATAAAAAATATTAGTAGTAATACAGAAAAAGATAATGATAAAGATAAATGATAGCAGATTTGCACAATCTTAAACAGTAATTAGCACTAAAAAATATGCAGTTTCTCACTCCACACACCATCTCGTTCATCATTATCATGAAAATTATTTTAATAAAATTAAATGAATTTTATTTAAATTTTGGATCTCTTTTTCAAATCAATAAAAAACAATCTAATGAAATGTTATGGTTGATGTGCATTTAATAATCCAAAAATAGTTTAGGAAGTTCAACCATTTCAGGGAGTAAAATGTTGTTGAAAAGTGTGATTTTAATGTGAGATTTGTGATTTTTAGACATCTTCATCATCTTGAATCCTTTCGGAAGTTCAGCTTGTCAGGGTAGAAAATGATAGTTTTTGTTTTGTGCCGTTTTTACGAAACAAAAAAATATTATATTGTTTTGTATCGTATTTTTACAAAACAAGTAAAGCTCGTTTCGTACCATATTTTTATGAAACAAGAAAATTGCGTTTTGTTTCGTATCGGTTTTTACGGAACGTTTCATAATTCCCCCGCTCCTAACAGATATTTTCCAATTCCCAAAATCCAAACAATACATGAACTATAACATTCAAGCAGAACAAATGCGCATTTAATACTCACTAACTATTAATATTCAAACACTAACTATTAATACTCACTAACTTAATATTTAGTAAACGAAAGTTTAACTAAAAAGTTTAACTTTTTGTTTTGTACTGGTTATTTCGTACTTTATTTAGTATAATCTTATTTTGTTTTGTAATGGCTTTTGCAAAACAAAAATTATTGTTTCGATTTGTACTGTATTTTTCACGAAACAAAAAATTTTGTTTCCTTTTGTACCGTTTTTTGCTAAATTGTATAAAAATTGTTTTGTTTCGTACCGGTTTTATCAAAATAATTTTCTTTATCGTTTTTGCTCGTTTCGTCTTGTACCGTTTAGAGACACAGATGCTTAGTAATTTTTTACTTGTAATTAATGCCTTTTGTTTTCTTTTTTTTTTAGAAATGATTTATCAAAACATCACCTCTTTCCAGAATTATATATGCTGATAGATGATGAAGAAGCCACTGTTCGACAAGCAGCATTTATGACAATTACAAATCTTTTAACAAATTTAAGTCAAGGTCGACCTTCATTAAAATTTGTTTATAAAATTCAAAATTAATAAAATCTTTTTGATGTAAAATTAATACATTTAAAGCAAAATTAATACATCTTTAACATACAAATAGTATAATCTTTATAAATAATATCTATAAATTAAAATATTTAATTTACAGAGTTTTTGTAAAATACAAAGAAACATTTATTAACATTTTACGTAATCATAGTTACTTTAAAATGCAAAGTTGTACAAATGCAAAATATTTTTAATTTACATTATGTATTTAAAAGTATAAAGGAATTCAGTCAAGAATATTCTACGATTTCATAATAATCCTAGCAAACATTTTTGTAGTGGATTTTTAGTGGACCTATAATGTCACTTTGAGCTGTTGATTGAGGTTTTGCTCATCAGTTACTTAGTTGACCATTTGAGGTATTTGCTAAAAGTGGCCAGTTGATAAATTTTCAACATTTGATAAAGTGGCTAGTAATTGGCTAGCCACTTTTGGCGGTTACCACTCATGGTCCACTAAGTAACAGATGAGAAAAACTACAGAGGACCTCTCAAAGTGCCTATATAGGTTAAGGACAGAATATTTGCTGGTATGAGCAAAAATATATTTTCACTTTCTTGATTTACATAATTTAAATCAAGTTTACATCATTTCTACTTTAAACTTAATTAAGTATTTTAATTTTTCTTATTACTAAATTGTCAGACATAATTATTCTTGAATTGTCCACACTTTGAGAACAAATATGTCTGAGAACAACTACAAAAGGTTAAGCAGGGAATTAATTTATAAATATTATATTTTAAATCGGAATTTTTTTAACTTATTTAGATTTACTAGATTCATTGAAAAAAGTTGTTTTGAAATTTCTTGCCAAAGCGTTAGTGAAAAAACATGGTGATGAACTAATTTCAATTGCTGAGCTTTTTGGAAGAAATTTTTTAGCTTTATCAGGTAAAAGTTTAAAAATAACAAATAAGTGCAATATTCAATTAATGTGTTAATAAATGTTAATCAAATTAAGTGATTTACTATATAATACTTGACCAAGTTTATTCCTGTTTTCTATCATTAGAAACAGATAATAGTCATTAAATATAGTGAATAGTTAAACAATTTTTAGTCATCAAATATATTAAATGGTTTTTACTTTAATTTTTTAATTTTAGGTATTGTTAAAAAGTTTTTGTGAGCAGAATGAATGCATTAAGCTCACTTGATTGATTATAACAAATTTTTTAAAATACTGAAGAACAGTATTTGTAACCTGCAGCATAAATGTTGTTCAATTTTTTTACACTTTTTGTTTCAATTTATTTTTTCAAATTTTTTTTTCCTAATGATGAATCATATTTTTTTCAACAATTATAAAACGATTGTAATCTGTTTTATTTTAATAAAAGTAGTTTAAACTTAAAAAATTTCATGAAATATTTTTTGTTGTTGAGGTTTTGATCAGTTAGCAGGAAATGTGACACTTATCTTGCTTTTTTTTTTTCAATTTATTAGTATAATTCTTTATGAAAAATCATGATGCCGTGCATAAATATTTAGTTGTTAAAGATAATAGTGGAAAAAAAGTTTATATGAAAGTTCTACCAACTTTTTAGTGTAAATTAGTGATTTCAAATTCTGAATCAAAGGTTAAATTCTGAATTCATTCTCTTCCTTGTGTGATCCTAATTTATTTAACCTCTTTAAAGGTCTTTTATCAGCTTTTTTGCTCTTTATACATTATCTTCTAATTAAATACTGGCCGTTTGCAGTCTTGTTAATTTATTTTCTAAAAAGACATAATGCAAATTTTATACCAAATAATTTATGCGCATAATTTTTAAGTCATGAAAGTATTAAACAGAATATTTAATAAATCATAACTTTTTTTTCTTAGATTAATTACTTTTTTAATTTATATTATTTAAAAATGCAAATTTATAATGCAAATTTTATACCAAATAATTTATGCGCATAATTTTTAAGTCATGAAAGTATTAAACAGAATATTTAATAAATCATAACTTTTTTTCTTAGATTAATTACTTTTTTAATTTATATTATTTAAAAATGCAAATTTATAATGCAAATTTTATACCAAATAATTTATGCGCATAATTTTTAAGTCATGAAAGTATTAAACAGAATATTTAATAAATCATAACTTTTTTTTCTTAGATTAATTACTTTTTTAATTTATATTATTTTCTTAAGCCCTTCCCTGTGGAATTAACAAATATTTTTTCAAAATTTTTTGTTAATTGTGTAAATTTTCTTTTGAAAAAATTTAAAAATTTTTTTATTTTGATAATTTTTATACATTTTATCATATTATCATTCATAATTGGTTGAAAACATTTGAGAGGGTCTTATGAAATATCACTTTCATTTTCTAGACTAAAATCAATGAGTAAACACTGCCAGTTTTGCTTTTATCTTTAGAGTTTAAAGTTTTGCTTTTATCTTTAGTTTTTCTTTTATCTTACTTAGAGTTCAAAAATAAAGACAATAAAATAAGTTATCTGGCATAACTTATTTTATTGTCTTTATTTTTGAACTCTAAGTCGCAAATAAAAAAATATGACTTTTTTTAATTACATACCTATTTTGATAAAAATTTTGTTATCAGAGAATCTTATCCCAAAACTGTTATACAAACATATAAAAACAAAATAAAACTGCTAAATTTTACAGTTACTATTTATTCTATTTATATACCCTTGTTCTTCACAGGGTTGGCAAAAAATTCCAACCCAAAAAAACCCAATCCAAAAAAACCCACCTTAAAAAAACCCAATAAAACCCAAAAAAACCCAAAATATATTTGGGTTTCTTTGAAAATGTCCTATTTTACAACTGATAACTCTGATTTTAACACTTATAAATGCTTTGTTATCAGCAAGTGCAACCTTTATACTGTAATTACTCTTGTAAACACTGTATTTATATACATAATGGTCTTTAGGATATACCCAAAATCGATCAATCTGTTTTTGTAGCAAGTTGGTTATTTATTATTTTTTTAAAACATTTAGCAAGTTATTATAAATGTTATTGAAATATGTATTAAAACATTAAATTAGTTAAATACTTAAAAAGGAAATAAAAATCATTCTATTAACTAAATTTCAAGACATTACTAGTTATTTAGTATCTTTATTCTCCAATCGAATGTCTGTATTCCTTTATATTGGTATTTGATCTTTTATTTTTTAAAGCTTATGTTGTAAACTGCAAAAAAAAAAATACAAAGCCACAAGCAAAATACTATATATAGAAATTAAACTTTATTTACAGTTTAGAAATGGAAAGTTGTCAGGCAAAAAAAAAATCCTACAGTTTACTAGATTTGTCCTTCAGTGCATACAACTTTAAAACTTAAAAAAAATTAAGTTATGTGCAAGCAAGCTTGCAACATGTTTGCTCATTCAATGAGAGAACATGTTGAAAACTTGTATGCATTTCACAAAGACAAGATTTGTTGGTAAAAATGACACTCGTGCTCATCTGTCTTTTGACAGGTTTTGAATATTTTGCATCAGCTACAAGTTTACAACATGTACCACCAACAGGGGTGACTATGAACAGCGGGTTGAAAATTAACATCAGTATCAAGTTGCTAAAAGATGAAGAAACACACACACAATAGAGCTATATAATGTGTTACTTTGATTCAGTTTGCAATTTGCATTGCAAAACTGTGCCGGTAAAATATCTTCAAGGAAAAAAAAAACTTGGTGGCGAAGACAGTGTAATGGTTCTTAACAAATTTACTTTATATATATTTAGAAACAAAGTTTAGGCAAAAATCCATTTTTTGCCAGTCCAGTTGATCAGGTTGATAACTTTTCCAGGAAGCTGGACAGTATAATGTTCTGATAAAAAAAAATGTAGTGATTAGGCTAGCAGTTTGCTTCTATAATACAAAAATGTTTAAAAAGTGTTCATAGTCATCCTGGTTGATAATAACTTATAAGGTTGCAACATCATGTTGCAAACTTGTTGATTACATGTTGTAAACTTGTGCAAAGTAGTTTTTGAACATGTTAGTAAAAAAAACTAGTTTGCAACATTTATATTGTCTTACCAACTTTGAATAACTCAATTGTCATAATTTTTACACTAATTTTTTTTAGTCAAAAATATTCTGAACATGTTTTTAATTTAGAGCAATTAATTAACATCATTTATAGTTGATGGAGTCCCTTTTTGCACTATAGGTAAAATGTGCTAGTAGACTAGTAGTAAAACATTTGGCTCGCAACCAGGTTGGGGTTCAAATTACTTCTGCTGAAATTACTGTCTCAATCTATTTCTCCACACAGCGCCTTTGTTTAAAAATTTTAGTTGTTAATGTTGTTTGTTAGTAAAAATGGTAATGTTAAGGATTGAGACAAAATATTTTTAAAAAATGAGTTGCTCCCTTGACTGAAATGGTCATTGGAGCAATAGGGAGGTGAATTTATGAAATTAAAAAAAAAAATTTTTGTACTCATACAGTTATAAAAATTTGGTATTTTGATCGATTTTTAAAAAAACCCAATAAAACCCAAAAAAATCCATTTGGGTTGGGTTTTTTTAAAAAAACCCTGGGTTTTTTCCAACCCTGGTTCTTCAAGCTATAATATATTATGAAAAAAAAAAAAGTAAAACAACCAAATTTTCAATGGAATGTGTTCTTACATCTCAAAAAGAAAAGTTTTCAAAACATTGGTATGGAATCAATATCAATTTTATTCTAGAAAAAAAGAATAGAGTTATAGAGCAAGGAAACAGTTTACAAAAGACTTAAAAAGTTGAAAGATGTGTGAGTCAGGAAAACATGAAGATGGGAGAGAGTTCCAAAGGGTTGAAGTGCGGGGGAAAAAAAATTTGGTGAATAAAAGTTTTTAGAGCTTGCAGGAAAAGATGCAGTAAAGGAATGAAGCTTTGTTGAATGATGAGAAAAGCAAGAATGAGTTTTAGTTGATGGAACTAGAGATGATAGCTATTTTGAGCAGCAAACCTTATAGTATTTGTAGAAAAGAGAAAGATATGCAACTTTATAACGATGGGAAAGAGGCTGAGGCTTAGCAGATAGAGTGGATCAGAGACGAATAAGAGATTTGTTGAAGTAGAGAATGGAATCAGGAGAGAGATAATGGTGAGCACGATAAAGAGAAGCAACCTTAGTAGGTGCTAATTTAGCAATTGATTGTATATATGGTTTCCATAAAAGGTCAGTAGTAAACAATAATCCAAGAAGATTTAAAGAAGAGGATTCAATGAGAGATTTGCCATTCATTAATATAGGAATGTTGACTGTATTGCAATAGTTGTTTGCAGTAATTAACTGAGTTTTATTGGAGTTAAAATTTACAAGCCACTGTAAGGCCCAAATATAAAGTAACTTACTGGTGAACCAACACTGCGGCAGAGGTTCAGATAGAACACAAACATACATATAAACATAAACAGACAGAACACAAACATACAGATAGCAAGTTACATGTGAGTCAACTCCATGCCAGAGGTTTAGACAGAACACAAACATACAGATATATACATAAGTTACTTAATTTACATCATTATTTTCTCAATTTACATAAATTATTTAGTTTACATTAATTACTAAGTGCTTGTATGTTTCAGTAATTTGTAAATTTAAATAACCAGTAAAGAAAAAAAAAAAAAACTTTTATTTATTTTCAAAGCAGATATTTAAAATTAATACCGAATACAAAAAAATGTTTGGAATGGGTGATTAAAAAAAAAACTATTTGGGTAATAACTCTTCTAATTTATAATTTAACCAAGACTTGTTTCAGAAAAAAAAACTTTAAGTTATTTGCCGTAGTTGGTGTGTTGTTTTCCAACCAACACACCAAATAGGGCACTGATCAGTTATGATTTGCCACATCAAAGAAGGATTAATGTAGCAGTTGGTTGAAAAATAGTATTAGTTTATTGGAAACTTTTAGGGTCAAAACAAAAAAATTATTATCTTGCTTTTTTAAATACTAAATCATTTTTTTTTATGTTAGCTCACCTCTCCAAGGAGCAGGTACTACAATTGAGGAGGATAATTAGTTTTAGTTATAACCCTCTCTCTTAACTTTTTAACTCTGAAACACAAACCTTGAGAAACAAGGCTGCTGGGTGGAGAAACAAGTTAAGCACAGTACTACCAGGGGCAGTGTTTGATATTGAACTCTGAACTTCTGGCTTATAAAGCAAGCGTTCTACCATTACACCATTACTGCATATTTTGACCAAATTAATCCAAAATAACATTTTATTAAATACTTTGATTAACATTTTTAACAAAAGGTAAAGTTAATTTAAGAAAATAGTGTTGATAACCTTAAAGCCCTGCAGCAAATAAACTTCAATAATATTTAACTGTGCATTATAAAAATTAACAACCAAGTACAGACTTTTATTACAGGTTTCCTAACTAATGAAGAGCGTTGTTCATTATTGAGCTGTTATCAAATGCTGTGTTTTCACGGAAATAATTTAGGAACAGTATCTACAATTAGTCCTAATTTAGTTATGGTAATATAAATTTACTTTTATTAATTATTTTCACGTTGTTTTTCATCTATAAATGATATTTATAGATAAAAATCAATAATTTTATTTTTTCTACTTTTTTCTACATTTTTTCTACAAATGGTTTTCTTTGATATTACATTTTAATTTCACTACTACATGTTTGGTTTTCAGTTTAAAGTTAATTTTTTTACTAATTATAGATGTTTTAGTTACCATTTATTTTTTATTTTCAATTTCTATTTTAATAAACTGGGTTAATTTCAGAATGAAATTGTTCCACTTGAAATGGAAGATAAAAGAGCACAATGTCGGTACTGGTGTGCTGTTAACTTGCCGGTAAATTCAACTTAATATTTAATATTTAATATTTTATTGCAATAATTTTTTTTTAAAATGGTTATTATTAGGTTATACTATCTTGTGGTAACAAAAATGCATTTCAAGCATGTCTTCTTCCATGTTTAATTTCCCTGTCAAAAGATCCATCAGTGCTAGTACGAAGAACAATGGCAATGTCACTATATGAGGTAAAATTTTAAATAAAGAGTTTAGTATGTATAATGCTTGGTTGTCATTCTATGCAATCATACGAAATAAAGGTCTTTTATAGACAATATTTTTTAGTAATCCAAGTCTAAAAAATAAAAGTAGAAAATTTTCTATTCAATGTGGTCATGCCAGAGCATAACTTCAAGGAGATAATTTTCTATTCAACATGCCAGATTAATTTGCAATTATTTCAATAAAGTGCAAATTTATAACACTAAAGCTTATCTTTGGCAAATATAACCAAAACTATATAAAGCTAATAGGTTTAATATAGTTTTAGTTAATTTTCTCAAAAGGAAACACTTTTATGTTTTTTTGTTTTAACGTGTTCCTCATTCAGAATATTAAAAGTTGGTTTAAAAAAAATTACTATTTAATTAAACTTTAATTTTTTTTTTATAATATTCTAATATTATAAAAAATATATATACATAAAAAAATATATATTTTAATAACTCCTTAAGGAAAAGATGAGGAGATGATGGCACTAGGTCTTTCTATCTGTTTGTTACCTTTTTGATCTTTTTATCTTCTTTGATAATCATATTTTATAAATTGTTTTTTTTTTTAAACTTTTGAGGTGCTTTCCTTGTTGTTCTAACATATTATCTTTAGATTTCCACAATTTCACAAAAGAAAAAAAAAATAAGGGTTTGGACCTTAAATGAATTCTAAATCATAGAACTAAAAAATAAAAACACTGCAGCCAGATTGATCAAGATTTTATTGGAATAAATACCAACATTAGATATAAAACATCTAAAATACAAAAGATCTCAGTCAGTTACAAATTTCTAATTATCTAAATTGCTCATTCTGCATTGTGCGATGGATCTAGCTTTTTAAGCCTTTTCAGTAATACATAACAAAAAAACCAAGTTTATTTACAAAATTGTATTTGATATATTTTAATTATAGTTTTTTATTTAAATTTAAATAAAAAACTATAATTAAAATTTCAATTCTGTTTTAATGTTTAAACTATCTACTTCACAGGAATCTTGTGAAACTATTTAAATCTTTCGCTAGTGCATCTGTAGTGAAAACGATAAGTTTATATGTTATATATGACATTATCAACATTGGTATCATATGAAGTGTTGAATACTATTTTTATAGTAGTAAACACCTCATATAATTGGTTTATACCTCATACAAATGGTTTATTAGCTAACAACGGTAGTAGTTGTAGAATGACTCTAGCATGCAACTGTAACAGGTCTAACTACATTTTAAAAAATTTTCAGACTTTCTCAAATAGAGAAAGAGCATTATTAGAAGAATCAACCTAAATATTCACTATTCCATACAAGAACTGATATAAGATTTGTAGAGGTAAAGATTGGAATTAAGGACTAATTACTAGCATGATAGGAAAGGCAACTTAAGCATTTGCTAACTTTGGCAATGGATTGAATTGATTGTTTCCATTAGCAGTCAGCAGTAAAATGTAATGCTAAAAGACACATATAGATATATATTGCTATTCATTAGAGGAAGCATGTTGCCATTCATTAAAGTAATCATGTTGCCATTTATTAGAGTAAGTATGTTGCCATTCATTAGATAAAGCATGTTGTTATTTATTAACATAGTAGTATCAACATTATTGTGATGATGGTTACCACAAAGAGCTCACATTAAGATCAGTTACTTGCCTTAAACAATATAAAAGTCTGCTTATCAAGACTGGTGAATAAAATTGTACCAATAGCAATAAAGCAACTTTAGAATTAAGATTTTCAGGAAGATTACTAGTAAAGTTGCAGTGCAGGACAAAGGATGGAGCCTTGTGATATTAAAACCATCAAGGGTTAATTAAATACTAGGATTTGAAAAGGATGGCTTGGTAATTTTGAATACTTTTCCATATACATCATATTAAGAAAGCTTATAGAGAAGAAGATCATTATGATAACTTCGTTGAAAGTTTTCAATGTGTTGAGAGCAAAGATCAACTCATTGCTTATGCATGTTTTACCACTAATCATGCACAAGCAATATGTTGATCTTCTTTATCTACATATTTAGGCTATAAGATGGCTTTGATCATTTTACTTGGGAGTGATGAGCATCCTGTTGGTTTGACATGTTTTTTTCTGTAAGCTTATTTGAAGGTTAAATTTAAAAAAGGGCTTTTTTTTTAGATTAATAAATGTTCTGTGTATTCCTCTTTTCTTCCATTAGTTAACAGTTCAGTCAGTTTATTTTTTGTATTTTGATTGATCTTTTCTAGGTACTAAAATAATAGAAGTTGGCTTCTATTATTTTAGACTATAGAATTGGTCCTACATACTTTGATAATTGAGTTAAAATGATTGCCTTATCTTTAGATAAATTTTTATGATTGATTTGATTGTTTATGCCATATGCGAGCTATTGATGTGAAATGAGTTGCATGCCACAACATTTAATTTTGTGAAAAATATTTGGAGAAAGATTTTTTATTTTGATATTTTTAGTAAACAATAAAATTTTTAATCTGATCTAATTTGATAATTGTGGAACAATTTCGTGGCTCTACAAATTGATATGCAATTGTGGAACAATTACTTTCGTGGCTCTACAAATTGATATGCAATTGTGAAACAATTACTTTCGTGGCTCTACAAAGTTTCTTTTAATTAGTTAAATTTTTTAAACATGCTATGTAACAAATGTCTGTACACAGAGTTAGAAATCTGGTGCGTAAGTGCAACTAAAACTAGGGTTTTTACATTTGGCTATGTAATTATATACCCAAATAGTCTAAGCCCACACAGGTAAAAAATCGGATGCAAACTTACCATGTAACTTGAGCTTCCAAAATCAAATTTATGGATAAAAAGTTCATTAAGAAAAACTAATTAATCATCCACTTTTTTGCGGGCAAAACTTTGCATGTAATTAAAAAGCAATTAGGAAAAATAAATTTACCTTCTTTTAATATAATTTTGAATTATCACAAACAAAAATTTTGTTAAGTTATTTTTTCAAAAGTGTTGCTTTAAGTGTCTACTTTAAATCAAATGTATGTGTCTACTTTAAATCAAATGTTGTATGTGTCTACTTAAAATCAAATGTTGTATGTGTCTACTTTTAATCAAATGTTGTACGTGTCTACTTTAAATCAAATGTTGTATGTGTCTACTTTAAATCAAATGTTGTATGTGTCTACTTTAAATCGAATGTTGTGTCTACTTTAAGTCAAATGTTGTAACTGTCTACTTTAAATCAAATGTTTTATGTGTCTTCTTTAAATCAAATGAGTATTAGGATGTGCAAATGTTCAAAAACAGTTTAACGGCACATCAACTATATAAAAAATAATAAATGTTTTTAGTAATTCAAAAAGTTTTATTTTAATTAGGTTTATTAACATTTAGCTAGGAATAAAAATTGAAAATGAAACATCTGCAACTGAGAATGATAAAAATTAACTGTTGGTGTTCTGGATTGTGAGACTGGTGTGATGGATTGCTACAGGCAGAGATATATATAGAAAATCATTAAAAGAGTCTTATAACATTGACAAGAAACTTTTAAAAAAATGCATTGACAAGAAACTTTTTAAAAAATGCAAGTCTTTTTCTTGTGATAAAGCATTAGCAATGTTAGACCAACACTGTATACAATTACAATTATAATTAGGGGTAATTAATGAAAAATATCCATTGTATTACAAAGTTCTTAAGGCTATAACTATAACTGCTTTCTGCAAAAATTTTAGGACCATAACTGATACCATGGTTTAAACAAAACTACAATATCTCCTTGATCACGCTTCCTGAGGACTGGTGTAGGGACATATCTTAGCAGAAAATGTGAAATATTAAAAAATTAATTACAAATGAGGATTTGATGGTAGCACCAGGTATATTGACACCACCACCAGTGACATGACTGATGACAAGTAAGTACAACAACTTCTTAGTTGTATCTATTAGTGTTCTGAAAAATTTCTGCAGAAATAATTTTTGAAAATTGTCCTCTTTCAACTTGATATTGATGGTCAATTTGTTTCTTGTTTTTGAAAGAAACTTTGGAAATTTCACAAAAAAAAAAAAATAGCATATAGAGTCCTGAACTGTTCACTTACATCTTTAGGTTTAAAATCGGGACAATTACTATAGTTGTTCAATCAATTAATTTTTACTATGATGGTTGATAAAGTTTGTAGGAAAATCACTGAGACATCTTTTCAAACAGCTTTATTTGTAAAGCTGTTTGAAAAGATGAATAAAAAGTTTGAAAAAATATATAGATCTAAAAAAAAATTTATTAATGGTTGACAGAAGATACTAGTAAAAAGAGACAACTTCAAGTTTAGACTTTCAACACTGCACGCTAGGATTTGCATATTTCATTCTGAAAAAAAAAAGGTAAATTGATCAATGGAGTGAGAAAATAGAATTTGACGTCAGGAAGAAAAAAGCCCAAGCAGAATTCTTTTAAAGATTATAAAGCTCTTAATGTAGGCCAGGAACAAACAAGCAGTAAAGTTTAAATTTTTTAAGTTAAAAGCTTATAGTTTATGTTTAAAGCTTATATTTTATATTATTGAGCAATAAAAAAATAGAATGTTAATCATCAGACAACAAGATTGTTATTGCTTGATAATGGGACTTGATAATGTGACTAATGTTTTTCATATTTGGCTCTTACTTCTTAAGCGCCAAAATATGAAAAACATTAGTTTTGTAATGATTAGGATGAATAGAATTGTCAATTATATTGGTAAGAAAATATAAAGTATAAAAAAAAAAAATTAAAAAATTGAAGAATTGTTGTTTAGATTGCAAAACATTTGTCTGACGATACTTATCTAATGCATGCATGTATTGCAGATATAATTAAAGATTCAAGTATATATGTAAGTTTTTTTTTTTGTTTTGTTTTTAATTTTTGTTAAAAAGTATTCTGACTATTTACTTGTTGTAAAATTTTTAAAAATAATCTTTATTATCTGGCAAATAAGGCTTTCCCATTTCTTTTTTTTAAGTATATATATTTTTAAGGTTATTCTTTTATTTTACTTAAATGTTAGTTTTGCGTTCTGAAGAAAAGGAAAAAATCAAATCAAAATCAAATGAGAAATTTAATAAAAATATATATGCATTCATACTGTGAAACATAAAACCTTAAACAAAAATATTAGGTTTGTATATACTTTTAGTGAAGTTTGTTGGCTAGGCAAACAACTATCTGTGGCCTTTAACTTTTTTGATTACCTTTTTACTTAAGATTTTAACAACGCATTTTAGGAAAATATATTTATTATGTGTGCTTTGTTAACTCTGAAAATATTTTTTCAAAATTAAGTTAGACTCCAGGGGGGCTTCTAAAGCTGAGGACACTACAGTTGCATTATTTGTTGTGTCATTCTTTGAGCAATAATCATGCTGTATTAAAATTGATTTAAAACAGTATTGAGTTCTGTTTAATTTGTAATGAAATTACTTTTACTTTGATGGAAGAAAAGGCTGGACCAAATTGTTAATTATAGAATAAAAAATCTTTTGGTTCAGTCTTTTCATCCATTTAAGTATAAAAATAGAAAGTTCATCCTAGGGTGATGTAAAAGGAGTTTATAAGTGTAACTTGGAAGCCAACTGCTCCCATTACACCAGAACTTGCCATTCATAAAATAAGATAGCTGAAGCACATTTTAAAGTGCTTCTAAAAAAACAATGAATAATATGTAGTGATAGGTAGAAGTTTAACTCAGCTCAGGATGGTCAGAGGGTATTCATAAGAAAATGTTGGGACATAAATGTTGTTGGATGATTTGTATGAAACATACAAGTAAAAGCTAAAACATTTAATTATATTTCTCAAAAGTTTAAGAATAGCAAGGATGAGTTTACTAAAAGTTTAAGAATAGTAAGGATGGTTTGATGGGATTAGTTTGCTAAAATATTAAGTATGTAAATGATATGATAATAAACTATAATTTTACACCCCATCTAGATGAAAAAAAACTCCAAAAACTTGATGAGAAGTACATAAAAAAAAGATTTTATGTCAAAATTTATTTTAAGCATTACTTTAAAATTTTTACCAAACATCATCTAGAGGTGCAAACCAAGGCACATTTTGCTTAAACTTAAAGTTCTTATGACATGCCCACTTAATATGATGAGTATTATTCCACCATATATAGGAACCAGGGCTAGGTCAATGAGATTTTAGACAACCTAGGAGATATAATGAGCTACTGCCATTGTTTATGGCCAAGAAAACAAGAGTTGGATTTAAGGAATATAAAAAGATTTGGAGTTTGCACTTCTCTGAAAAAAATTTTTTAGAATAAATATTATTATTTTTCTGAAAAATATTTTTAGAATAATATTATATTTGCATACCTAAATGTGTCAAAAGTGCTCAAGTCATAGATCCAGACATTTTTTCTCAGAAAAATACTAAAAAAAACAAAGACATAAAAAAAATTAGTTTTTTTCTGTAGTAAAAAAAAATAGTACCTGCCAATTCTAAAAAAGGGATAAACAGATTCTATCATTGTTGACCAGCTTCTCACTCCTTCATCTATTAGGATGGCATAGATGTATCTATGTACTTTGCTTCCAGTTTATGATGTTGAATGCTGGATCTTCTTAATCCAATGCATGGGTTTTGCTTATGTCTCTGTTTTTATGACTAGGCAACTTATTTTTTTATCTTCTCATACAGTTCTTTTTATCTTCTCATACAGTTTACAGCTCTAAAACTCAGTTTTATGGTTCTATGGTAGTTCTATGAGAGGCTATTTTCATAAACAGTTGTAAAGTATTAGAATGCTAACAGGGCCATGTTGTGCATGGATGGTATCTCTGTTTGTACTTTTAGTATGTATTGTTAAGGCCAAGTTTAAAGCCCTTTGTTACGATTTAGGGTTTATTAATAGAAATGAGTCAATTGCTGAGACATTTATATAGGTTACTGAGTACTATCTGTGCTTTGAGTTAAGTTCTGAAACAAATCTAAAAATGACTTAGGTACAAAAAACTATAAAACACAAAAAACCATCATCATCACCAAGTACTTTAAATCTATCATTCACTAGTATTTGTGGTCTTTGAAGTAACTTCTTCTGTTGAGTCTTATCTTTTGCAAAGTTCACCAGGCCTACTAGCTCTTTATGAGACTAATTTGAGTTCAGCTGTCTCGTCTTGTGATCTTAGTGTTGACGGTTATCTTGCTTTAATTTGTAAATGCTCCAATAGTCACATATTGGCTTCTGATCACAGTTTGATCTCTCTAAAGCTGTTATTTCATTCATCATCAGAATCACCCTATCATTATACCTCTTACAATTACCTTAAGGCTGACTGGGGCTCTTTCTGTGATTTTCATTGTAAAGGCCCATGGGTAGAAATCTTTTATATTCCTGCTGACAAATGTGCTTCTTATGTAACTTCGTGGATTCAGGCTTACATGGAATCTTTTATTCCCTCGTGACAATTCCCAAGCAAGCTTTACTCTTCTCCATGGTTTTCCTCTCATTGTGTTGCTTCAATTTCTAACCGTAACCAATACTATACCAATACCATATCTATCATCACAGCAATTCTCAAGAAAACAGACATCTGTTTACTTTTGCTAGAAACCATTGTAAAAAGGTTTTTTCTAATTCTAAAGACTATTGCTATTCTCAGGTCACAAATTTTTTTATTTCATCTCAAAATTAGACTCTCGAAATTTCTGGAGATTTTTTAGCAGTGTCTATAATAAGGGCAAATCTGTTATTCCTTCGCTCTTGCAGGTTAAGATTTTGTTACTTCACCTAAGACAAAGCTGAATTGTTTGCTAAGAACTTTTCATCAATCTCATCTCTTGATTCCACTAATCACATTCTTCCTGATATAGCTGACAAACAGGTTGATTGATTGCTTAACATTCATATCACTCCAGCTTCTGTATCTAAAGTGGTTTACTGCTTAGACTCTTTTACAGCTTGAGGTCTAGACACCTTCACCTGTTATAGTCTTACAGAAGTGTTCCCCGGAGCTGTCATCTCTTTCAAAACTTATTAATAAGTGCTTATCAGAGTCTTATTTTTTTAACAGATGTCTGCTGGAAAGCGGCATCTGTTATTCCTGTTTTCAAAAACTCCGGAGATCGATTTGACTCATCTTACTACTGTTCCATTAGTCTTCTTCCTATCATAAACAAGGTTTTTGAGTCTTTAATTAACAAACACTTAATCTCTCATTATAAATCTAGTAACTTACTTTCTGATCATCAAAATGGATTTTAATCTTCTTCTTCTACTGCTGATTTGGTAATGTTAATAACTGATAGTTTTTATTGTGCATTAGATAGATGTGGAGAAGTTAAGGCTTTTATCCTCTCACTTCAGGGGTTCCTCAAGGTTCTATCCTTGGCCCTGTACTTTTTTAAATTTACATTAAGGATCTCCCAGAAATTCTCACATCTAAAGTGGAATTATTTGCTGATAATACTACCATTTATTCTTGTCTTGATATGAAGCCAATACTTTCTGATTGCTTGGAGGGGGCATTATAGCTTGAAAAGGATCTCACTTCTGCTACAGCATGGGGCTTACAGTGGCTAGTAATCTTTAACTCAGATTAAACTCAATTTTTTTTCAGATGATTATCATTGCAATAATCTAGATTCTAAATTTATGAACGGTAATGTACTTGATGAGTCATCTACTCTTTGTCTTCTAGGATTAAATCTTATTTTCGATCTTTCTTGGAAACCATAAATCAAATCTATTACTTGTCATTCAATTAAGTCTAATCCTTTTACTGCGACTGTTCCTAAGTGCTACAAAAGTTCTATTTTGTCTAGTTTTTTTCTCGAACATCAGCTCTTTGGAATTTGCTCGCTTCATCTTGTTTTCAAGTGGTCTGTTATTAATTATCTTGCTTTATAAACATTGTCCTTTGTCTTTCAGTAATTTCCAACCTTGGAAAGCATTTAGATTTTTTTTTCCAATGATGCTGAAACATAAAGGATTTTTAAAATATTGATTTCATAAATATCAAAAGCCCTCATGTTATTGACCTCTTGTTTTACTGAGATAAGTTTAGCACCGCTAAATAGGTTTTTAAAATAAATAATTTTTGTTTCATATTTCAAGTGTTTTTAATGAAGAACTTTTTGTACTTGTTTTAATATTTATATAATAGTTTTAATAGCCAATAATTTTATAACTATTATAATTCGTTAAATGAAAAATGTGTTAATGTCGCTTTATGTGAAAATTGTTGACTTTTATATGAGATTCTAATATTTATTGCTACTAAAGAACAAAGTAATTCTTTTATAATACAGTCATTTTGTTTTCTTTTTTTCTTGCCACCTTGTTTTTTACAATATAGCCATCTTGTTTGACAATAACTATTTTAATGAGTATGTGAATTGACAGTATAAATCATAAATTAGCCAACATAAATAATTGTTACATAATTAGTATGATGACATTGATGTAATGTGTAACCAATCAAAAAAGTTTCTGGTTAAAACTTTTATCCAAGTTTTATTAATTCTAATTAATGCCGTTCTTAGAATTTTTTAATCAGGTAAGTAGAAGCACTGTTTACTTAAATCAAAAAAACAATCTATATTTAAAATAGATATTGCCATTAACATTTTTTTAATTGTTGATATAGGTAAGCTAATGTGACCTACTCCGTAATACGGAGTAGGTTACCACAAAAACCAAACTTTTCTCTTATTATGCTAGTGTAAAATTTTTATACTAGCATAAAGGTTTTATAAAAAATCTTTGTAATTGTAACTTGGGACTAAAGTGTAACAAAGCTTGTAAGCTTTGAGTTATAGAATACTACAAATGTCTAAATTTTATTTGATGAATTTTCTATTGTTGTTTGTTTTTTTTTAGTTAAAGATTCTATGTTTAACTAAAAAAGTACTTTATTAAAAAATAAAGATTTGTTTTTGTATAGTTTTTTCTCAGTATTTAGAGGCTAACCTACTGTTTTTCTTTCAAGTATTCCTTCTTATTGATTGCTTTTTTGAAAATATATTTTATTTTTAAAAATATATTTTATTTTACTTAAGTTTGTTCCATCAGGTATTGGATGGTTTTCTATTAATTATGCCGTCAATATTTGAAGCTCTTCAGACTTCAGGGGGTAAAGTATGTATGTATAATATTTTAATATATAAAAGGATTTTTTATAATTATTATACAACAAGATATATAAATAGTTTGTTTTTCTTTTTTTTATTATAGTAATATGGTTTGAAAAACAATAATTATAAAAATTAGAGTTTTTTTTTTTTTAAGAGAAACATTAAGTATTAATATTGATTTATTTTTTCCAAATTTAGTAGATTTATTTTTTAATAAATTTATTTTTATAATTAATATATTTACTTTTTCCAAATAAACCAGATTTAATATGTCATGATATGACTTGTTGCATGCATGAGAAAAATTAATTTTACATAATTTTACAAATTTCAATCCAGATTATTATATAAGCAAACCGATAGTTTTTATTTTGTTTGAGTTTTGAAGGAAAGTGTTTGATTAAAGGAAAGTGTTTGATTAAAGGAAAGTGTTTGATTAAAGGAAAGTGTTTGATTAAAGGAAAGTGTTTGATTCTTTTTTTCTTTTTTTTTTAAATAAAAAAAGAAGACATCAATGCCATAGGACTAATAGAGAGAGGGTTGTAACCTCAATAGAGAGAGGTATCTCTCAATAGAGAATGGAATCTCTCATATATGAGAGAATCCATTATGAAAATCTCTCATATATGAGAAAATGAATGTGGAATTTCTCATATATGAGAGACTCCATTTATGAGAGAATAAAATGTGGAATCTCTCATATATGAGAGATTCCACATATGAGAGATTCCTTTCTAAAAAAATAGTAGTCTCCTAAACTGTAGCTGCTCCTCGACATTAGGGAATAAAATTTAAAAAAAAAATGCATTCATTCACTATAATAAAGCTATTTTGATTACCGTATTGCTCTATAAATATTTATATATCTTTACAATTGAAAAGTATCTAGAAAAAAATGTCAAAATTTTAACTCCAATTTCATATTTTCATATATAACTCAGTTCCATATTGGAGTAACATAACAGCTTTATCCATTTATGTGTTTTTAATTGTTAAATTTATTTAGTAAAATTATTAAACAAATTTTCTATATCAAAATTTTGGAAGAAAAAAAATTGGTAGTCAAAAGTCTTATTTAAGTTATATTATTAATTGTTCAATTAAAATAAATAAAATATCTTAATACAAAATACAGTTGCTTAGAAAGTGAAAAACATGCACAAAAATCGACTTTTACTCTTTACGAGCAACTGTAGCAACTTTGCGAGCAACTGTAGCAAACGTTGAAAGATATTTAAGTAATAACAAAAATAATATTAAAAGGTGTAAAATAAATAAGCTATCACTGCCAACAAAAAAAAAGCTGAATAAATTACAAGAAGTGGAAGTATAGATAAAGCTATTTATCTTTAACTAATTGGCTGTTTTGATAAAAATATTTTATTTATCTGACAAACAATTTGTTTTTTTTAAGACTACTAAGACTAAGAAAGGACTATTGTCTGAACCACAAGCCATAGAAGAGTTTAATTGAGAAATGAGTTTAATTGAGAAGAGTTTAATTGAGACTTTAACAACAGAAGTCGGAGTGATTTGGTTATCTAATAATAGGGTAACCTGTTTAACTGGAATGGAAGGAAGAGAATGGCCATAAGATTCATGAGTTGAATTAAGTTGATTGAGTCAAGAGTCGAAAACTTGTTTAACTGGAATGGCAGGAAGAATGTGGCTATTAGATTCAAGAGATGAATTAGACGAAAAGTTCTTTGCAAATATTTCTACTTTATCCTTGTAAGAGTTCAGACCCATGTATTAGAGATGTTAGACTTAACTTTATTAAGATCAGACCCACGTATGACATATCATTAATGACACTCTTAAATATTTTTTAAAAACTTTTGAGATAAAATACGATAAGGTTTATTAAAGTTAGAATTAAAAAAGAAGAAGACTAATTGAGCAATACTGAAAAGATTCAATGTTGTTTCCAGAGTTTTATAAAAATTAATCACTGATGTCATTCCCATCTGTGCATAAGTTTTTGAAGTAAACTGCAGATTTGAACAATTAGACAATCTTGTAGTAAATGTTTTATTATTTTAAAAAGATTTTTTAGAATGAGATCTCATCGTAGCATATCAGCTACTAAAAAAGTTTTTTAAATGTTTTCTCAATTTTTAGAATGGTTCTATTGCAAAGACTTGTGCTTACATTCTATTATAATAATTATGTGTAATAGTCTAAAATTGTCTTTCAACATTGTGGGTAAACAAATTCAGATGTGGTATGAATAAGACTTTAGGGTTAATACTCTTGAAGTTAGCAAAAGCAATATTTATCAAAAATGCTTCTTGATTCTTCTGTATGTATATATATATATGTGTGTGTTTATATATATATATATATATATATATATATATATATATATATATATATATATATATATATATATATATATATATATATATATATATATGTATATATATATATATATATACATATATATATATATATATATATATATATATATATATATATATATATATATATATATATATATATATATATATATATATATATATATATATATATATATATATATATATATATATATAGTAAAAACTAAATAATTATTAAGATATATTAATTACATAACTAGAAGTTTCAAACAATAGCGATGTAACAACATCAACAAAAAAAACTACTAAAATTATACAAAAAAATGCTATGGAGTATCCACTTTGAAGACATTAAAGTTCTTTATTAGAAAATAAACAAAAGGGTTTTTATCAAAGTAAGGCCAACTCCACTGAACTTTCAAAATTTGTGTGGGAATGTAAAAATAAAGCTTTAGAACCTATACTAAAGTGGAATATTCTCGATCAAGCAGAATCATTCAAACCTGGAGGTAAATTTTGCAATTTATGTTTGACAAAAAATACCCCATTATTACACCACCATTAAATTTGCTTAATAAACAAACCGAGCTTGCGTCAAAGTGCCACCATGAAAATAAATTTCTAATAAAGAACTTTAATGTCAAAAATATTAAAATAGAAAAAAAAAAAAGTTATTTTACTACAAAATCTACATTATTCAAATTATAAATAAGCTATAATCTTTTAATATTAGTGAAGTATTTAAACTAAAAAGGATTAGCTCTCCTTTATTAATATACCTTTCTATCAAGTTGAAGGAGGACAAGTGAGAAAACAATATAAATACAATATTAGTCTTCTATTAAATTATTAACAAATTATTGTTTTAAAATATTATTAGTAGTGTTAGATGCTAAATCTGTTTTCTTTCGCCCTTGCTTACTTTAATTGAAAACATGGGTAAGCAAGAACAGAGTCTTTTCTTCTTTTTTGTTGATTTTCTAATCAGTTCTTTAACTAGTTTAATGGCCTTCTCTAATGAGTCATTGATCACATCAAGGGATTTTATAATAATTTCAAAAGTGGATATACTATTAGTTTTGCAAGAATTATTCTGTACAATGCTTTGGCAATATCTTCTATTTTAGGGCAACGTTCATCTTTTATTTTTTATCACAACTAAAGTATGATCAAGATACCAACTGTGCCTGTCAAATGATTTTATTGCTGAAGTAACTCTATGAAGATTTATATCATGAGCCTTTTCATCTGTCACAACATTTTTATGTCCTACATAGTATTTTAATAAAATTAGGTTAGTTCATCAATTCAAGAATTAACTAAGGGATTGCACATAAAGTATGTACGCTTTTATTTTGTCCCCTTCCCCTCCTCCGCCCCCCGCATTTTGCTATATGCTTTTTTGAGTACTCTCGAACTCCCTAAAAACCTATATGCTTTTTTGAGTACTTTTCAACTCCCTAAAAGTATCTACGCTTTTAACCTACCCAACATTTTATGATATTTCTTTAAATTTAGTGTCGTCTTACTTTCATAATTGACTCACTACCCTCCCATTTTGCCATTTGCAGACCCTCTTCCCCTTCAAGTGTATGTACTTTATGAATGATCCCTAATCATTTTTTAATCTGTTTTTTTATTTATTATGATTATTAATTTTTAACTTGATATGGAGCAGCAGTTGCAGATCCTAGGAACCTAGGATCCTAAGGAACCACTGAGTGTAAAAGATGCCAATAAACATAGCTATACCATCATTCCTTTTTTTCTGATATTTTTGGAATGGTTTCCAACAGTAAATACCTTTTAAGGGAATACAATGCTTTTGCCATGAATTTTGCGTGATGCAATGAACCAGCAATATGAAATTTGAACTTCTCTAATTGAGAAAATCAATGATAATCCTGATAAGCTTTTTTTGATTTACCATCCTAAAATTAAAAAAATCAGTTTTACATATTTTGATCATACAAAGCAGATTGTTAAAATTAATTTTATTAAGCTAGTACTAACAATGTAGTTGCACTTTTTAATTCAGAAATTCATAATTTTTGCAAAATTTTAGCCGGATCAATTAATATTTTTTTTAATTCTATATTCTATGAGCTCCGGATTTGTAGTGGTATCTATATTTACATTTCTTTACAATTTAATTAGCTTAGCCTAATTTTAAAAATTAACTCAACAAAAATTTTGAACAGAAGGCACATGATATTCTGAAGTGAAGACACCCAATAGAGCCTGAAGTGAAGGCACAAATGTGGTTAAATATACATTCAATAAAGTTACGGTGCAGAGGGTATCAATGCAAGATTGAAGTCAATCTGAGCTTGCTGAGCAGCAGATTGACAAAATTGAAGAAATTCTTGCAAAACAAGCCTGGCTGGGTAATTCTTCTACATCATCATTGTATTGATATAATTGTTCATACTATGTTCACTGGTGGCACAGCACATGAACAACAATTACCAACACGCATTGACACTCAGCTAAGCCAGTATCTGGCAGAACCAGAAATAAAGAGACACGCTGATCCATTACAGTGGTGGAGTGATAACGTGCAACAATTGCCAGCTCTGGCGATAGTAGCTTACATTTATTTGGGTGCCCCACCAACAAGTGTATTATCAGAACGTTTGTTCAGTGTTGCTGGGGAGGTCCTCATTTATCATTGTAGTTCACTCCTGCCACATAATGCAGCTTGCTTAATTTTCTAAAGTGTAATTCAAAACAGATCAAAGATATTTTAAAAAAGTAACTTAAACTGATGTTACTTTACTTCACATTTAAATTGAAAGTTTCAATAATTTATCAATTATCTTGTTATGTTATGATATGTTATGTAAATTGTGTCTTTCTATTTTGATAATAACAATGAAGTTTGACAGAAAATATTTGTCACTTGGTATTGAGAATGGTAAACATTGTTGACTCTTACTAATATCAAGTAGGGATGTACAGAATTTTGGCTCCTGTAGTTTTGTTTTGAAATCCGGCTTCGGCTCTGGCTCCAGTCAAATTTGTCAGTCGAAATCTGGTTCTGGCTAGGTTTGAAAAAATAAATCCAGTACAGCCTTTCTTTTTCTGAGGATTCTGTTTTAGATTTTTATTTGCAGATCTCTCAGCAGTCTTTTTAAACCTAATATCAACAAAAACAACCTTGTCTATTTTCTATCTGCATTTTCAAAAACATTATGTCCATACATTTAGTTTCTTTTGTTCTTTTTTTTATTCATTGTTATTTTATCAATCATGATTTTTATGCCATGTCTCAACCAAAATACCTTTTTAGATTTTATTAAAAGGTTTCTTTATCCTTAATTGCTTCTGGTGTCAATCTGTTTTTAAGGGATTGCAGGTATTTATATTTCATCATAAGATCTTCAACTTCTTTTCTAAAATTAAAATTGATTAGATAATTATTTAATTTAAGATTAAATAAGATTAATAAATATAATTGTTTGTAAAACTTATTGTAAGCTACAAGTTCTGTATCTTCTAAGTTTCCAGGAGGCTTTCAGCTTAAATATGATGCAGCAGTTCTCTTCCACTTTTGGACAATTTGGTGTAAATGTAGATCCTTGTTTGGACAACAGACTAAGTTTTTTAAAAAAGTGCATGGTTTGGACTCTTGTAGGTAAAAAAATAGTACTGGATTATTTCTTCAACAGTTGAAAACTGAGTAGATAATAGTGTCTTGTTTTTTTAAGTACAATGAAATCACGCTGCTGTCATGGAAACAATTTTGTGTGTAGAAATAATAAAAAACTTTATTCATATAAATTTTACAGTAAGCCCAGTCATTGATTTAGCCTCTTCTTTAAGTTTAAAGATTTATTTATAAGGAATTTTTTTCTCTATAACACATGTTATTAAATATTTTCTCTTGACAATTCTTTCGACTTTTCTATTATTTTAAGTTAAAAATTATATTCAGTAAATATGTAAAATTTTGTTTAAATAAAATTTTAATTTCTTCTGTCCTTACAAGATATCAATTTTTTTTTAATTAGTTATTCTATCTAGTATACATTAGAGAAACAATTGCTAAGAATCTCATTCATTTTCAGTAAAAAACCAGAAAGTTATGAAAAAAAAACTTTAAAAAATTAAGAAATTTAATGTATATATACAGCCCTCGGAATTAGGGTTGGCATTCGGCAATGCCGACCTAAATGTGTTTGAGGTCGGCAAAAAATCGCTGACCTCGTTTCTATGTTTTATGGTATGGATCAAATTTTTTTGCCAACCTGATGCTGACCTCAAGCAAATTAAGGTTAGCAAATTATTGCCGATCTCATTTTTCCTAATTCTGAGGGCTGTATATATAATAAAAATTTAAATTAATATTATACATTTTGGTAACATTTTTTGCTAACCTTTTTTACGTTCCCTATATCTCGTAACTAGTACGCTTATTTAGCATACTAGTTAAGAGATATAGTTACCATAAGATACTTTAAAACAAACAAAATGCACCTGCATTATCACAGTTTGTTCATTTGTATTGGACTTTCAGAGAATGGCCAAAGGTCTTGTTCAGTGAAGAATCAAAGTTTTGCATGTATGGTATCAAGTGCTTGAAAAGTCCAAAATGTTGCAAGTTTGGACATTTTTTTTCAGCAAGACAACAATCCAAAACAATTTGGATCATTTTTTTCAATCTAAAAAAATTTGAGTTTTGGACAGGTCTTTACAAAGCTCAGGCTTGAATCTATTAGAACATGTTTGAGAACATCTGGGTTGTCAATTTTATAGCAAAAACCTAATCAATAAAAATGATTTCAGATTGTTGGAAAATATCACTATAGATGTTCTTATTAGATAGGTTGCCTCGCTGTTATTAGATAGGTTGCCTCGTTGTTGTTAAGTAGTATCATAATCTAGAGACTATCCAACAAAATAGCAATGTGCTGTGATAAAAAATTTGAATTATTTATAAAATTTATTTTTTTAATTGTTTCATTTGTTTAGAAACTTTTGCATTCAATTAATTTTAAATTTCTTACTACCTTTACAAGTTATCATTTTTTTGAGTTAATTTATGTCACATTAGAGGAACAATTTTTAAAAACTTCATTTATTTTCAGTCAAAAATCAAAAATTTATGAAGAAAAACTTGCTGTTTATATATATATATATATATATATATATATATATATATATATATATATATATATATATATATATATATATATATATATATATATATATATATATATATATATATATATATATATATATATATATATATATATATATATATATATATATATATATATATATATATATGTATATTATATATATAAAATATATATGTATATTATATATATATATATATATATATATATATATATATATATATATATGTATAAATAAAAAAATAAAAAATATATATATATATAAATACACAGTGTAAAATGAGAAAATTTTTTGAGTGATTTTCTACTAATTTATATATATATATATATATATATATATATATATATATATATATATATATATATATATATATATATATATATATATATATATATATATATATATATATAATTATAATTTTCATTCCCAGAATTTTATACCAGAGTTAATACCACAACTACTTGAATCTGAAGATCGGATATCATCTTCTCTTCATTGGAGGATATATGAGCATTATCTAGAAGCTATTAGTTGCTTGCATTTTTATCAAACATCAGATCAGATTATGACAAAGATTGTTCCTAACCTTCTTAAAGTTTTAACTGCAAATGTAAGTTATTTTTATGATTTATTATGTTATCTTGCTATCTATTATTTTATAATCTTGCTATCTTGTTATTTTGTTTAGCTTAACTAATTTAACCAGTAGCGGTGTATTGGCTAAGAATTATATGTACAAGTCTAAAGATCAGGAGAGTGATTACATATAATTTACAATAATAAATTATAAACTCGCATAAATAAGGTTAGGTGTCACTTGTAAAGTTAAAAACTAGCCAGTAGAGTGACATCTTGAATAATATATGTAAATAAAACATAAAAAGAATTTAAAGTAAAAGAAAACAAAAAAATTAAGAATAAAAAAAAAATAAAGAATAAACAAAGAAGACAAAAAGTAAAGAAAGAATAAACAAAGAATATAAAACTAACATAAAATTGTACACTATGTTTTTATGTTAGTTTTCTTTGTTTAATTTTTATTTTGTTTTGCTTTTTATGTTTTCTTTTTTTTCAAATTCTTTTTATGTTATATTTTTTTTACAAAACAGAAAAATAAACAAAAAAAATCACTACTTTATGTTATGCAATAATCACAGAAATTTTTGTGGGATAGGAACAATTGATTACAAGATTGTAATCAACTATTTCAGAGTTATTTTTTTTAAATCTGATTATCAAGGTTCAGAATATCTTAAAATGTTGTCATAGAGCTCTGCAAAATTAGCTAGTAACAAGATGATTTTTTAAATTTAAATTCAATGCAGCTATTTTTTTATTATTTTTTTTATCAATTTAACTATTTATAGCTTTAAAATGTATTAAGACATATTGAACTAGATGACAGTGCTTTTTCTGTTATGAACTTACAGTTATGTATGTGTGTATTTTTGGGACCAGCTTAAAATACTTTAGTTTGATTTTGAATAATTTTAGACAAATTTTTCAAGGTTCTGAATAATTTGAAAATGTTTATAATAAAGTGTCATTTCACAAACCTACTAACTTTCACATAACTGCAGTATTTATAACAGTTTACACCGTTTGAAAATTTTGACTTTTTTGGTTACGAAACATCCCGAAAAAATCCTCTTAGGGTATGAAACTACACATGTCAAGAATACTATATCAACTTACTTTGAAATCCAAAATTAAAATCCGAGAGAGATATTTTGATTTGAAAATATTCAATATTTTCACCAAATGGATAGAAGTTGGTTACAACCTGCCCTTAACAAAAGGGGTCTTATCAGTCCTAATACAGCCTAACTAATTTAAAAAGTAAAATTAAGATAGAAAATATGCCATTTTTGACAATAATTCATATTCACAATTTTAAAATTTTATTTGAAAATATTTAGAAAACCATCTTTCAATTTTTTGATATAATCAAAATTTCTCACTTCAAAAATTTTTCTTTTGACAAATAAATACATTCTTTACACACACACAAACTGAGTTTCTCCAAATTGAAAATGAGGAGTCTTTTATTTTCTTTCTTTCCAACTAAACTTTTTTGCTGTTGTAATCAACTACACAGCTGAGGAGTTGACTGGAATATTCCGGATGAGTAGAGTTTCGCTTGAATCTTTGCCAGTGGGTCTTGAAATTTGAATGAAGAGCTTCTGTTGCTTGCTCACTGAATACACCTAGACCAACCTTGTGCTGATGAATGAATTGTTGAACGTGATGAAAAACAGCATGTGCCTTTGGTGTGACTGAGACTGGTAATTTCAAGTAGTTATCTTTGAAATCACAAATTTTTGCCTCATAATCTGGCAACAGAGTGTATCCAAAGCATGAAACCACAACCTGGTGAAATGAGCTCAATGCTTGGCATGCCTTTGTTGCATCTGGTGCTTTTTCAGCAATTGTCAATTGCATAAGCTCTTCAATTTTCCTCAGCACTTTCATGCAATCTTTTCCATTGAAGTGGCCACCATGAAATGGTTGCATCTGAATGTGGATTGAATCCAACCATTGTTTGGTCTTTGGAAAAACTTGAACCAAGTACTTGATGAGGTGGTTGACAACTCCCAGGAGCAAATGCAGTTCCATGGGTGGGATTGCCTCAAGGATCAATTCCCTGTCTGGAAAGGCAAACATTGGCAAATGAACCACATTTTCAAACTCTTTTGATCTTTTGGCATCACAACCAGACTTCACAAATTTTTTGTACAAGTCTCTGATGCCCCCGAATGTTCTAAGCTGACCACAGTTTTCCAAATGTGCTGAGTCTATGTTGCACCAACAGCAAGGATGCTTACTGCTGTGTGACTGGATTCCACAAACTATGTTTGCAAGCTTCATGTCACAAGAAATAACAAGTTTTTCTGAAATGGAGATTTCATTGATTTAGAGAAGATCCAGAATGTGCTTAACATTTGGGTAAGTCTCTGGTGTGTTCTCTGAAATGGCAACAATCAGTTGTTTTTGAACACTTGTGTTTTTGAAGTTGTCTTTGGTGATCAATTTTGATTTCTTCTGAACAGGACTGTGAGGTTCTCCTTCATGCTCACTGATAAGACTCAAACTTGCCTTAAAGAATGATCCTCCACCATCAATGCTAAGCTTTAAGAAGTTTGAGTTTTGCAAGCCTCTGGATGAAACAATATTTTCTTTGAGGGTTTCCAAATTTGTGCAGTGAACAATATGGCGTGTTTCATTTGATTCTGGTAACTGTGAAGTGGTTACTGTAAAGAAACTTTTGAGGGTAGTTCCAGCTGCAGCAAATTTTTGTTGAAAATTGGCCTCAACTATGCGAACAGGACTTATTTGATTTAAAGCTGACCCAAGCTTTCTCATTCCATTGTTAGAAAGTCCAATGTTTTGCTGAATATTAATCATATCTTGTGTTGTCAATGGCTCTGAGGAGAGACCCTGAGTTGCATTTGATCCTGTGAATAAAGAAACAAATAAGAAAAAAACCAATATTAAAAAGCAAACCCAGCAACAATACTTTAACATACCAGGTCTGATTTCAAGAGGCTTTCCATGAAACCGGCTAATCAGAATAGTTCCATCGGAAGATACCTCTTTGGAAGAAACGATGAATGATGCAATTTGCTCTGCCCCTAACGGATCTGCCAATGCCAGATCCGTTAGGGATCTGGCAAGTTTTCACGACGTGTTGCTTCTTTGCAGTTATGAGGCAGTCCTCGAGCAATGACAGATAGGCATTTTGTGCATCGTTTTTCAAAAGATTTTTCTTCTTTTTGCACTTCTTGCTGAGATGGTTTTTCAAAGGGGTGCTTTCCTTTCCCTTTGGTTTTTGAAATTTGACAAATGATGCAATCACATTTAGTTGTCTGGCGAGTTGATGGTTTGATCAATATGGATTCGAAGTCATAAAGTTGAGGTATACTCACTTCTTCATCTCCAGAAGCTAACTTTCTAAGCAGGAACCTACAGGTGACACAGATCCCTCGTGGAACCCTCTCATCATCAAAGTTGATGTTGCCAGAAATCAATCTTTTGATTTCACTGATGAAATATTCTGAAATTTCTCTGTCACTTTTTTTCATACAAAGTGTGCAAACGACCTGCCGACATTGATTATGATCCTTTGAAAAAGTAGGCATTTCAAAATCTGAGATAAACTTGTGATCTGTTTGAAGATATCATTTAAATTAATTCAAAGTACAAAGAGGTCATAAAACGTATGAAAATGTACTAAAAGTACAAAAAGTCCGTAAAATTGGAAATGTCCGAAGAGTACAAATTTTAGGAAAGTACAAATTTACGGCAATTCACGTATCAAATTTTTCATCGTAATTCGCGATTCAAAAATTAATCGATTCAAAACTTGAAATGGAAATATCTCCCCTTATAGCTCATTTCTCAAAAAAATTTATTAAATACGAAATCTTTACAAATTAATTGTCTAAAAAAGTTATTTTATTAAAAAAATCACTACGACCCACCCCAATACCGCTATTTTCAAAAACAAAAACTGCTAATGTTTTTATATTATTTCAAAAATTTAAATCAAAATATCTCTCTCGGATTTTAATTTTGGATTTCAAAGTAAGTTGATATAGTATTCTTGACATGTGTAGTTTCATACCCTAAGAGGATTTTTTCGGGATGTTTCGTAACCAAAAAAGTCAAAATTTTCAAACGGTGTTTATCTTTAAACATATCATATATTTCATACATCTACATCTTTAAACATATCATATATTTCATACATCTACATCTTTAAACATATCATATATTTCATACATCTACATCTTTAAACATATCATATTACATTTAGTAAAGAACATTGTAAGCAGTGCTTAAAATGTTCATTCATCTTATGTAACTGGCTTCAATGATAAAAGGAGATGATAAATATGGAGAGAAAGAAAAACACAAAGTTTATTTTGAAACTAATAATAGTTTGGAGTGATCAAAATTATTTTACATCTAAAAGCAATACATGTGCACATTGACAAAATGATAACTATTTTGTACTAATTTACTATATTTACTATTCAGTAGCGATGAAGTGGTAAAGTAGTGAAGTGGTGTAGCGCTGCTGTAGTGTATCAGTAGAGTGGTGAAGTGGTGTAGCACTGCTGTAGTGTATCAGTAGAGTGGTGAAGTGATGTAGCACTGCTGTAGTGTATCGGTAGAGTGGTGAAGTGGTGTAGCACTGCTGTAGTGTAGCGGTACTGTAGTGAAGTGGTGTAGCACTGCTGTAGTGTAGCGGTAGAGTGGTGAAATGGTGTAGCACTGCTGTAGCACTGCTGTAGTGTAGCGGTGAAGTGGTGTAGCACTGCTGTAGGGTATCGGTAGAGTAGTGAAAAGGTGTAGCACTGCTGTAGTGTAGCAGTGTAGTGATATGGTGGTGAAATGGTGTAGCACTGTTGTAGTGTAACAGTGTAATGGTAGAGTGGTGAAGTGGTATATAACATGTTTAGATTGTTTTAATATATCTCTTATAACTCCTGTTTTATGTCTCTTGTAACTCCTCTATTTGTGTATTTTGATATTGTAGGCTTAAGAGACAAGGCTGGGAAATATTTAATTTTTTCTAACTTTTATATAAACTTATTTTTAATTTTAGTTATTCTACTTTAAAAAGTATTTCTATTAGACTTCTTTTTTTTAAGAAAGTGCGCCCTGTCATGTTAGCTGCAGGCCATTGTCTGTTAACCCTTTTAAAACATAATGGGAATATCAGAGATAGAGAAGAAATTTGTGAGAAGTTAATTAATTGTAAGGCTCTTTTAACTCTTATTTAAATATATATATGTGTGTGTGTATATATATATATATATATATATATATATATATATATATATATATATATATATATATATATATATATATATATATATATATATATATATATATATATATATATATTTATGTGTATATATATATATATATAAATATATATATATATATTTATGTGTATATATGTATATATATAAAAATATATATTTATATATATATATATATATTGTATATATATATATATATATATATATATATATATATATATATATATATATATATTATATATTTTATATATATATATTTTTTTATATATCTATAACATAAATATATATAGTATAAATAAATATATGTATATATATATATATATATATATATATATATATATATATATATATATATATATATATATATATATATAAATAATAAATATTATGCTATTATTTTTTTGAAATGTTATAGTGTTGGCTCGTTCAGAACGCTGTAAATATCGTATACTTTTTATGAATTTATATCCCTACATTGCTGAATTATTTTCAAGAAGATTTTTCAAATGTATGTTCTATGATGTTGCAATGCAAATGGCATTGGTAAGTAAATAGAGTAAATAAAGTTAAAAAGAGTTTTTATTGATTTTTTTCAGTTTTTAATGATTTTTTTTAAAGTGGATTATTAAACTCTCAAGAAGTGAATTGCATCTGTTGTGTTACAAGTTTTACTTGTCTTAAGTCTGTTAAGCAGTGAATCATTTCTGAGTTACATATGTAGTATTTGCTTGTCAAAGTTATTCATTATAGCCTTTTGAACATCCTTGTTTTTTTTTGCTTGCAATAATGAATGCTTTTCAACAAGAATGGATGTTTTTCAACAATGCCACATTATTTTCTTATGCATTATATTTTTGTTTTTTAATTTTTTTTGTTTTTACAAGGGTAATGCAACCTTGCACTCAACTTCCGCCCTTACCATTATTAGTTGTTTTGTCTTTTAAAAAAATGCGGAATATACAATAATTAAAAAGAATAGCTGAAACATTTAACAACTTTTTTTAGATGTAAAAATTCTACAAATTTATGTATAAAATATGTAAAACATAATACTGATTTACAGTAATGTCTAGGATTTCGTTTAAAATTAAAGGTTTTATACAAGTTTAAAGCTAACACTTATATAGTAGTTTTAATTTTTTCAGTCTTTGTTACTCTTCTAGTTTTGTTTTAATTGTTATTATTTAACAAAAACTTTTGTTCATAAATAAACATAGTTAAATTTTAAATAGTTAAATATTTTAAAAATATTCAAGATTGGCATTAATAAAACATCTAAAGACTTAAAAATGACAACTTGAAATACATATATAGAAAAGAAAATTAGGGATTAAATTAAACCAGTATATTATATAAAAAAGTGAATTTAAATTTTTTGTAGCTTATCACTGATTTATATTCTGATCAAAATATGAAAAATATATTTGTCATCAACTTGTATAAAAACATTAGATAACTGAGGCAAGTTGCAGGTCATAATGTGGAGCAATTGTACAAGATTTGAGCAGGAACAACTTACAGGGTGCAATTTCTATTCAAAGTTCCTAATTTGTTTCTGTGTGTAAACATATAACAGTAAAGAAATGCAAATAGGGAAAACACAAAGAAAAAAATTGAAGATGGCTGCAGTAAAAAAAAAAGAAAAAGCTATCTTTTAAATGGAAAATGCTATAAACTTAACAAGACATCTTTTAAAAAATTTCAAAAAAACAAAAATAAAATATTTAGTTTGACTAAATATTTTATTTTTGTTGGTATTTAGTGCTTCAATTGACTTAAGTTGATCTATTTTTGCAGCTGGTTTTAAAAATTTCAAAAATTTTAAAATGGGAAACTTTAGCATTAGCATGTACATATAAACAGGAAATATAAGCCTGATGCTGTTGTGAAGTTATGTTTTTAATTATACTCGAGTTCATAATACAACTCCTATTTATAAATGAAAGTAATTGGATTTTCTATCAATTTCTCCTTTTTCTCAACATACATCTACTGTTTTTTTTTTGTTTTGTTTTTTTTTTAATTTTTTTTTTTGAATATGTATTTTTAATTGTATATTTATATGCTTTGTTTTCTTTGTGCTAAGTTTAGAAATAAAGAATAAAAAATATCAAAAACTTTTTTATGTGTATTTTTTTAGGATCCCATTATTAATGTTCGTTTAAAGTTTTGCACAACATTGCCACTTTTAAAATCTTTACTTTGTTTACCATTGGACAGAATGTTATTACAAACATTGGAACTAACTGTAAGAAGAATTATGGCATTAGAAAATGATAAAGATGTTTTAGATGCTATAAAAAATGTAAGTAGAAAAATAAATAAATGTGGAATAAGCAAAATCTCTGTTTTATTCTATTGTCTTCTGTTTACTTTTTTTTTTAAAGATTATGCTAGTGGTGCAGTGGTTAAGGGCTAACTTTGAAATAAAAAGATTATCATTTTGAACCCCACAACACTGGTAGTAATATAGTACTCAACATTTTTCTTGGGGATGTGAATATATTTTAAAAAGTTTGAATGCTATTCTTAAAACAATTTTTTTTTTTCTTGTTTTCTTCTTCAACATTTTCACTTCCAACAAGGCTGCAAGCAACCACTATTATAGTTAGAAGTTACTGGAAGAGAAAAGATGAAGCTTATAGAGCAAGATAATGATTGACAGACGACTTTAAGTATTGCAAATTGTATGAATCAGGAAAACAAGGTGAAGGAAGCGATTTAAAAAGAACTGATGTTCGAGGAAAAAAGCTGCGCGAATAAAATTTTTTAGAGCTCTTAGGAACAGTCACAGTAAAAGGATGAGACTTAATTAAATGACGAGTAACACAAGAATAAATTTTAGTACATGGCACAAGAGATGCTAGCTCTTTAAAGCAGTGCTCGTTATAGTATTTATAGAAAAGTGAAAGAGGAATAACATTATGAAGATGTGATAATGGTTGGAGGTTGGCTGCAAGAGCAGGGCCAACTATGTTTATGATGCGTTTTTGCATCTTGTCTAAAGGAGAAAGGGCATCATTGGAAGATATGGCAACAGTGTTCCATACAAGGACAGATTTGAGATTTAATTTTCTTATATTATTTTTCTTTTATTCTTATTTTATATTTATTATAATTATTATGTATATTAATAGTCATTTTATACAGTATGCTAAACCTGTGTACCAAGGGTTTAATTTTTCCAACACTTTAAAATAATATTATTGCAACCCATTAAAATAGCAAGACTGATACCAAGTAGCTGATACCATTGTTAATGCTAATTACTTTCTGTTATTTTTGCAATGTTTGCTTAAAATATAAATTTTAATCTAATTGAAGTCTTTTAAAATCAGTGACTCTAGGTACAATGAGTTTTTAAGTAACTTTACATTAAGTGAATAAAGTGGCCCAACATTTTCAAAAATTTGTCAAAATTGTTTGTCCCTAATTTAATTCTTTTTCATTTACCAAAAAGTCATTTCTGGTTCGAATTTAGAAAATTTGAATATTCTCTAGGTGGTCCACCACCTAACGAATAAAGTTTTGCATATATTCAAAAAATATGATATATTTAACTCTTGCTGTAGCTAGGAAGTTCGAGCTAAACTTAATCCCTCTCTCTGTACTATCATTTACCATATTCAGTGCTTGAATGTTGATCATCTAAATATGATGCGAAGTACAATTAGGCTAGTGATCAATGCTGTGATTGTAAATAGTTCTGGCTTGATTATCAAAAGACGGTTAGCAAGAGCTTGCTGTTCTGGTGGTTGAACTTTAGTGCTCCAAAGTGCAAGCGACATCATTTCTTCAGTTAAGTACCACAAGTGTCGTTTAAATGCTCTCAACCCACTTTCTGATAACTTGGGGTGTAATTATGCATACATTAACACTGGTCGGAACAACATAAGATCATTCCATAGTGAATCTGTAGCAGAATTACATAACATTCACCAGACACTGTGTATTAGGGTAGTAAAGTTGACAAAATCATGTGTTGAGATTATTTCTCCAACATGGTGACGACTAGCATTTCAAAAAAGACATCGACCCAAGCATTGCTGAATGGTCACACAAGCTGCAGTGACATGCCCTGTGTTTGATGCCATTGTGTCAAATGCCATACTGGCGATAGAATTGTTGCAATTCCATGACTTCAATAAGTCGACTGTCAAATCTGCGATGATATCACCCGATTTTCTATCAGCTTCTGGTTCACCTGCTTCCTCGAGGACAGCCTCTGTGTAAATTGCCTGCTGTGCAAGTGCCATTTTCAAGTGAGTTGCTAGTGCAACAAGCATTGGTTGTTGCCCAATGTCTTGAGGTACGATGGTAGGTATTCCTGTGCAGACAAGGCGACAATGGCTTCTAGGTGTCTGAAGTGGAACATCAACAGAAGAGTTACTGTCATGAGTGTCCTCACCCAATTTACTATGATCTTCAATTTCATCATCGCAGCTCTCAGTTTCACTTTTTAGTGCAGCCACCTCACTAATAGTTGTCAGAGGGCTGAATATTTTCTCACTTTTTGCCTCAAATTGTTCACATGTCCTCTGAATTTTTTACAAGCAGTTCCACATTCGCTGGCCATAAAGGAGATGTCTTTGTTTGCGTACATTCCATCTCCTGTACCTTCTTTATATAACTGTGAGTGGATCTATGTATGAAAGCCATTGCCCGTATCTTGGTTATTTTTGCGTCATCATCAGTTATCTTGTTCCCAAGACCAAATATGATGTATGATTTTTGCCTAACTATGTTCTTGCTCTCCAGATGCCAGATAAACTAGGAGTATGGACACTAGGGGATGTTTGCACTGCCGTGTTAATTTCCATATCAACCTAAAGCAATAATTTAATTTGACATCCTAAGCTAGGTTAAGGACAGACCTTAACCTAGCTTAGGATGCGCAGAGGGTTTGTTCCTAATGTAATATGATATTTCAAAAAATCAAATCTTATAAAGTTACACAATAAAAAATATATAATGTATATTATTATAAATAATATCTTATTTTATAATGAGAAATTATTAACCTTTTTGATGAGTTAATTAGTTGAAAATTAAAAACTTCAGAAACAGTCTAGTAGATGACAATCTAAAATGCGAGATGGCAACTAATAAACTGGCACAAGATTTTTTTTAAATGTTATAAGGTACTCAAAATGTGTTATGTTATAAAGTGAAAAATATTATAATTATTTCAATATATTGAATTTATTTTTGCATTTTATTATTTCTACATTAATTAATAATTATATTTTTATTTGTTATTTATTAAAACAAAATAGATAATATTTTAAATCAATTATAAAGATAATATTTAATTGATATTATAGAAAAAATGCTAAATTTTACATTTGTTCTGGTTCTTTTGATTATGTCAAATTTTGGTACAACGGACAAAAGTTCAGATTTGTGGTGGACCCCCTAAATCAATTTAATTCTTGAAAAAATTTGGCAAGCATACATTTAGAATACAATTAAATATTTTGGACAAGTAGGGACAAAACATTTCTTGAACATAAATGCATTTGATGCACCCTACTATACATAGGCTTAGTAACTGTACATAGGTTAAGTAACTGTACGTAAGTTAAGTAACTGTATGTAGGTTAAGTAACTGTACATAGGTTAGGTAACCATATGTGGGTTAAGTATCTCGAATAAGTAAATCTCATAAATTTATTATGTGTATAGAGCTTTTAATTAAAAAAAAAAAACAAGTTAAACTTATTAATTTAAAATTCATAGTTAAATGAATAAGAGTTTCTTGATTTTAGACTAAAAAATTTGCTAATGATAGTCAAAAAACTAGGCACTAGTTAAAGAGATCAGAGTTTTTAAAATTAAGAATTTGAAGTTAGAAAATTAGAAACCTGAAACAGGAGTAACTAGAATGTATGACAAAGTTCTGTTAATCTGTTAGTTAAGGTTGTTACAAAAGGTGAGTACAATGATTACTTTTTTATGAATAAAAGGATAACAACCAGACTAAAGGTGGAATAAAAGACAACTGAATTATTCACACAATTAGTCAAATCAAGACCTCAAATATATCTAAATAATGAAAAGATTTACATTAAAGTGAAAATGATTTTTGGCATAAATAATACTATGAACGCTAAATGAAAAATTTGTTGAAAAACTAATAGAATAATGAATTTTTACTTATAGGTAATTGAAGAACTAGACACTGTACGTGTATGCTTAGATCTGGTAAGCTATTGGTTGGTTTATTTTGTATTTTAAAATAATATAATTACATTTAGATTAATATTATATTGCATATATGCTTTACATTAAGTAAAGAATTTTTTTTTTTTTTATTGTTGCTATGATTGTTTTGACAGTCATTTAATATAATTACAAAATTTGTTTTTTTTTCAAACTAGACCTTTTTTCTTATCAGAATATTATAGACGGGAAAATTATGTGTAGAAAAGAAATTTTTAGTGTAAGTCCTTAGTTTGTTTCCTTCTAAAATAATACAATATTTGTTGTGTCAAATCTAGCACACAACTAATGTCTCCATCTCAAATCACTAAAACTTCTTTAAACAAATAAAAGAAAAAGATAGAGATACTCAAAGGTTTTTCTTCTATTAAAATAAGGCCGCTATGAACCAGCAAAAAATATTGTTGTAATAGTAATATCAATTTATGCAAAAATATTTCAACAAGTATTTCTTAACAAAAATTTTCATAAAATTATTCAATTTTAGTAATATCTTTTTTTGAGGTGTGGTTTCCATGCAAACAAACATTTGATCACTTTTAATATTAACGCAAAGTAATGAAGTATTAAAAAAAAAAAACTTAAGTTGTCAAATTAAACAATTTATACATTAACTTTTAACGTTATGGTGTTAGTCTTATTCCAAATTTATTAGAATCAACATGCTTCATGTGCATACTATTATACACATTATAAGACATAAGGGTTGGCTTAAATAATTTAACTGTTTAAAAACATTAAGTAGTCAAGTGGGAAAATGTGTAAACTTGAATGAAGTGTCAAATGTAACTTGATAACAAATTTTTTAGTTTTTTGATTTGTTTGAATCAGACTTTTATAATTAAACTTCTCATTAAGTTTTTAACTTTTTTTTTTTTTTTTTTGCTAAGGCTAACCCTAGTGAAGCTGATATAAAAGATCTTGAGAAAGAAAAGTTTGAAGATAGTGTTACAGAGGTATGACGATTTAAAATATGTAAACTGTAGTTAATTAAATTACCTGAATTATTTTTGTTTTACAATGTAATCAACCATTCAACATTATTAGAATTAGAGATACCACGAATATTCAGCCGAGTATTCGGTAACACTTAATTATATTGAGGACTCCGACCTGCATCTTTGTAGTGCATAAGTCAAATATTCTGTGGGCATTTTTAAATAGCTTGTGTTACAGCATGCATTATTTGTTGACTGTTACACCAAATATTTTAACTACATTTAAAATATTTGGAAAAGATAAAACATTCAGAAAAGTTTAAAAATAAACTTTTTGTTTATTTTTAAACTTTTGCAACCTTGAAGTAATTTCAGAAAATGCTATAGATTGAACTAGCATAATAAACTCTAAACTTATTTAAAATGTTATTTTCATGACAAGCTGAGCTTAATTTTAATGTTTAACTTCAAGGTTTAACTTTAATGGGAAAGACGGTTAAACGATTGCTTTTTTTATTTAGTCGCCAAATATTCGTAACATCACTAATTAAAATGTTATTAAAAAATAATAATATTTTTTAAATAAATTAATGAATAAGTACAATGATAAATGTTCTTTACTTTTAGCAACAGAATTTCAAATTGTCACTTTTAATAGAAATAATTATTTATATTTTTTTGACTCGAGAGAAATAGGTTCGTATAAGTTCTATCTATAATAGCATGCTTCTCAACTTAGTTGTGTATGCTATTGATTTTTTAGTGAGAAAATATTAGATATTACATTTCACAACTAAATTTTTGATTTAAAGTTTATTTACATTAAGACATGTATTTAAAAAGTTAAATGTAATTAGTACTGAATGTGAGAGCAGATACATCTGAAGAATGTGAGAGCAGATACATCTGAAGAATGTGAGAGCAGATACATCTGAAGAATGTGAGAGCAGATACATCTGAAGAATGTGAGAGCAGATAAATCTGAAGAATGTGAGAGCAGATACATCTGAAGAATGTGAGAGCAGATACATCTGAAGAATGTGAGAGCAGATACATCTGAAGAATGTGAGAGCAAATACATCTGAAGAATGTGAGAGCAGATACATCTGAAGGTTAGGCTGGATGATAGCAACAGTTTTGACATTAACACCAATTTTGAATATATTAGGGAAAAGTTATGTAATTTACTTTGACATTTACAGCAGTTATTTACTCATGAAATTGTAAGCCTCGATACTATTGGTGAGCTTTAATTCCATTTTAACTTAAAATTTGAGTTACGAATTATTCAAATCAGTTATTTGCAGATATTTTAAAAAAAAGTAATTGTTGTGCTAAATCAAAAACTAAAATTTTCTTATTCTATTTGACATAAATGAAAACACTAGACATTTATTTTGGCGTTGCTTTGATCATGGTTCTGAATGATGATCTGGTTTAATCTTTTTGTGATTGGCGTGATTATGTACAGTTATTTATTAATCTTTTTGTGATTGGCGTGATTATGCAAAGTTATTTATTATTCTTTTTGTGATTGGCGTGATTATGCACAGTCATTAATTAATCTTTTTGCGATTGGCGTGATATTGCCAATTTTTGCTAAATATATGAAAAGTTCTTTGAAAGTTAAATATTTTGTACATGCACGTGCAATACCGAGAAGTTTTACTATTGGAATCGGAGTCGCGAATTTGTTTAGCGACATCGACTCCGCTAAAAATGTTGCAACTCCGACTCCACAACCCTGGTTGGTATGTTGTTGGTTAAAATTTTTATTGCATTATTTAAGAATTCTTTTTTACTTCTTGTTTTAAAGGAATTTCAAATTGAAAAAAAATCACGAACAGTTTCGTTGGGTACCAAGGACTCTATCAAAAAAGGTGGAGTTTTTTTATTATCTTTAACCGTTTATTAACGGCTGTTTATTTATTTTTAAGTTAATTTATTAGTTTTAAAATTTAGTGATTTTCTATAATGAGGTTAAAAATAATGACTTTAAAAACATTTAAATGATATGTGAATAATTGCGTAATTATTATTTGAAGACCAATGTTTTGAAAATAAAATCAAAATTTTGATATGTGCTAGTCCGAATCTTTTTCGTATATCTGAAATTTTAGTTTGTAAAACGTTTGTAAAACGTTTTTACAAACTGAATTTACCAGTTACTTGATGATTTTTTATTTAGTAACATCAAAAGGCACGAGGAGTAGCTCGTCTGTCGTACTTACGCGTAAAATAGGTCGGTATTTTGCTCCCCAAAGTTTTTACAAAATTGTTGCTCTTTTTGCTGCGATGCTAGCGGCTTGAGGAATTTAGTTTTTTGTTTATTTTATTTTTTGGTTTTTGTTACAAAGTATTGAAAATAATTTTTTAAGGCTCTTCAGGTGTTAAAGACAAAGAAGTAACCTCCAAGGTAGCAGCACCAGCCAGTGTAAAAACATCTAAAAAAAGGTATAACTTTGACAGCAATGCTTTTAAAAACAAAACAAAAGATCTTTAATTTTATTTTGATTAAAAAAAAGTTTGTTTAGCATAAGTTATTTCATTAGTTTTAAAGTATTTAAAACTAGAAGTGGCAGAAAAATATTTTTCAAGGTTAATTTTTTGGATGATTAAAAATGATTAAAAACAAAAATATTTATTAGTTATATATATATATATATATATATATATATATATATATATATATATATATATATATATATATATATATATATATTTGTATTAACTCTCAAATTTCTCTGTTTTTTGGGGGTCTTTTTTGAAGGTAGTTGCCAAATTTTAAGGATTCACCCGCCGTCATTTTTATTCATAGAATCGTCCCTTGAGGTATTACGAAATCTTTGCAGTTCCAAATAATTATAAAAAAAAGTAAGAAACAGCAGAAGACATCTCAGGATGATTCAAGTGTCAATAGTTAAGCAAGATGACGCGACACCAGCTAATAGCATTCCGTTTATTGTCATATATTTATAAGGGTATTTTTGTATGTTATCCATATATGTGTTTGTTATCCGCTATAAGACATTAACGTCTTTTCTAATTATCTTATAGTTTTATAAGGTATTTGCTGTTTTTTACGGTAATTGCTTGGCTTTTCTTACGGTAATTAGTATGTGTTAGAGTCAAAATTTACAAACTAAACGTATACGATTTAAAAGTTTGTGTGATTTTATTAAATTTTCTTGGACTTTAGGTGTATAGGGTGAAAAGTATTATGTTGTTTTGTTTATTTAAATAGCACCTCTAAATTTTTCTGCCCTTGCTCGCAGCGTTTACTTTTAAATCTGCTGATTGAAACTTCTTTCTTCCAATATGTCAAAATTTTTTCAGGCGTCAATTTCTTTGTTTTATTTAAAAATAGTTATTAATATTTACTTTTTAGTTCCGTATCGAGTTCATCGTCGTCGGCACCATCGTCTTCAAGGAAATAATTTTCGGATTCTTTTTAAATGACTGTTGCAAGATTCGGAAACTTTGATTAATTTTAAAAAACTTTACCCACAACTTGAACAAATATAATAAAACTATTAATTAGCTTTTCTCGATTATTACTGCGATGTCATGTGTGAGTTATCTCCTTTTCTCTCTCTTTATATATATATATATATATATATATATATATATATATATATATATATATTATATATATATATATATATATATATATATTTATATATATATATATATATATATATATATATATATATATATATATATATATATATATATATATATATATATATATATATATATATATATATATACATATATATATTTATATATATATATATATATATATTTATATATATATGTATATATATTTATATATATATATATATATATATTTATATATATATATATATATATATATATATTTGTATATATATATTTGTATATATATATTTATATATATATATATATATATATATATATATATATATATATATATATATATATAAAAGTTGTAGTTTTAAAGATTTGTAATTAGAGTATTTTTTTAATTGTTCTTTTGTTGAATTACTTTTTCCACTTAACAAAATATATTTATAGTTACTATAATGGGAAAACAAACGTATTTGTGGAGTATACAATTTATTTGTGGAGTATACAACAAATAGTATAGTTTTCTTAATGATAAAGAAATATAGACAAAAAGTTACTAAAAAAAAAAGGCTTTGAATTTTTATTTTTTCCTGGTCTCTGGTGTCTAGAAGCTCTAAAAATGTTGAGTGACTTTTTTCTGCAATAAAAAAAAAAAATGCATTCTTATTTTTTTAAGCCTAGAGTCCTGCAGTGTTTGCCGCCATTATACATAAAGATTCTGGGTTAAAAAAAATTGATTGTTTTTCGTATCTAAAAGTAGAAGTAAAATTTTTTTTGCATAAAAGTAGTCCATGAGCTTTTTTACATTTTTGAAGCTGAACCAAAAACTTTAAACCAAAACCTTGAACCAAAAACCAGAATGAAATAATACTTTTGTGACTTTCATATCCAGGTTCTATTTTCGGACTGCGCATCCCTGATTCTAAGAAAAGAAATAAATTATTTTTTTCTTTTTTATAAATTACATTATAAATACACTCAAGTATTTAAAAACTAATTTTAGGATTAATAAGCATAAAGAATAAAAAAATCATAAGTAATAGATTTTTAAGTTTTGTAAAATAAAAACAGCAAATGCAAAGTAAAAAAAAGATTTAAAATTAACTGACACTCAACTAATAGTTTTGTCAATATAATAAAGTATTAATGAAAAAGTTTAAAAATATAGTTGGAAGGAACGTACTTAAGTCACTCCTAAAAGTTTTAAAACATAATAAAAGTAATATTCATCCCTTATTTTCTACCCAGGATTAAAAATCATACAGCAAAATAAGCTAAACTTATTTATTCGCCTTGAAAATTAAAATAACATTTAATATTGTTGAGTCACAATAAAAAAAAATCAAAAAGATCCACACAATTTTTTAAACAGTGTCAAAATTTTGTGCATTAATAAACTAAATGATGATGTAAATAATAATAAGCAAAAAACTAAATTTTCCGTTTAAAAATATATAATTCCCAAAAAGGATTTTTAAGTTTTGAAATGTTCATTTGAGTGCTGGAACTCAAAAGAACACAGAACAGTCTTCAAGGATATTCTTGAAGAAAAAATTCCATGATGATATTAAGTTTATCTTCAATTTACTTTTATTTACTCTAATTGTTTTATATAGTGGGTACAAATATTATAATATTAATTTTTGCGCACTTTTTTACAACCTCTGATTTTATTTACTTTATTACTTTCCGATTGTTTGGTAAACTTTTTATTTATTAAATTATTTGAATTTTTTTTTTTTTGGATGCAAGTTAAGAGTTATCAAATTAGGAGTTCCTAGAATACTCAAAATAGAGTTAAAGAGCGACCAAACGGTTGACAGAAAATTTGAAAAGATAAACAGTGGCGTACCTAGGGTAAATAGCACCTGGGGCAAATACCAATCTTGCATCCCTCCTCCCCCACATAAAGTGCTTAATTACAATTTTTTAATAAATGATAACACAAACTTTTAATAAAACTTTATTATTCATTATAAATGAACAATTTTTTTATGGAACATATATTACAAATTTTTTTTTCTAGTTTTAGTAGCTGCAAATTTTTTAATAACATTGTCAAAATCAGTTTTTTCGGTGATTTCTTGCTCTATGCTTAGTAAAGCGAGATCACAGTGACGGTTTTGGCCCATTGAAGCTCTCAAGTAATAGTTAATCAGTTTACGTTTACTGAATGATCTCTCGTAACTAGCTACAGACAAAGCTAATGTTAACAGTATTTGCAATGCTATACGCATATTAGAGAAAACGTTTTCGTCTCCATATTCAAGTATAAACATAAGTAGTTGCTCGGGATTTGATATTTTTTCCTTACGGCTAGTAAGCAGCATTCTACAATCAAAATTTTTTTTGTACAGTTCTTGTTCATCCACATCAGTTTCTATTCCATCCACATCAGAACTGTAGACTTCGCCAAATTTTTTATATTGATCTTTTAAGTGATTGATTTCCGTATTGAAGCACAACTCTTCCACATCAAGAAGAAATTTTTCATCAATTTCCGTTAATTGAACGCTTCTTGTTTTCAATTCATTAAAAAGACGGTCGGCAGTCCCTTTTATTACCCTTTCTACTTCTTCTTTTGCTGTTAACCCAACATCTCTAGACATTTCGCAATCCATTCTTTTTTTTTTTTCTTTGACGTCTTTTAAATTCAACACCCCATTTGTTGCAAACTTGAACTCCTTCTTTTATTGAGTCATTAACTAAGACTTCTCTCACTTTAGAAATAATCTTGTCGCAATTTCAAATCTAAAGCTGCATTATGAAAGTTCATTTTATGGTCCTGCAACCTCTTTTGAACACGGTCAATTCAATCTAAAATCACTAATACAATTGGTATAATGTATCAAGTTCGCTCATATATCAATAAACAAAGTCTTAAACTAATTTACTTTGGACTAATTCATTGCTACATCAGCTATGCAAACATATCATGGGAAAGTACGCGACCATCAAAACTCAAAAAAATTTAAATGTATGGCAAAGTCATTAAGTTCATTTAAGTTTCTAATAAAAAATAAATTTTTAAAATTTGAGAATCTTTTGTGCTTTAGGGAATCACCAAAGAATTTTATTTATTTTCTAATTTTTTTATATTTTATCTTTATCTGATTTACTGATCAGCGTAGCAGTTTTATGCTCATTAGGGTTTTTTTATTTAATACCTATATTCTATGGAAAGTGTATATAGGGGCTCTATGAAAAAATTCCGATGACGTATTGTCATCTTCTTTGAGCCCCTGTTTGTTTAACTCTTTATTTTATAAAGATCATTGTAAAAAGAATAGTGTATATTTTATACTGTATATACAAAAACGATGGTTGTTGATAAGATTTTACTGTCTTCTTTGTTTTACGGACATTTTTTCTTTCTTGTATATATTTTTATTTGATTATTTATTGTTAAACAGCAAAATAAATGTGAAAAAAAAAAAAAATTCGGCCAAGAATCTTGTTCTAAAACCCTACCAATGTGAGAAAGTCATACGTTAAAATTCTATTATAAAATTGCTTTGCATTGCTTTTCGTTTCATTTGAAGCGCTTTAGTCTACCATTAAGTTCTGAAGAACTCCCACTATTTCATCAATGTAGGTGTGTACAGGTTTTACTGATTTTGTTTTGGTGCTCCACCTAGTATCGGAATCGGACTTCAAAGTAATAGGCACAGCATCTTTATGTTTTTGCCATCGTTAAGTTGACCTTGAGAAAAAAATGTAAAGCGCATCGATGGTTCTAAAAAAAGTAACTATCATTACTTCTTTTTTAGCCGCATGTACACCTACTAAATTAAGACAATGAGTGTCACAACTGACAAATATGGCAAGGTTGTTTTTTTCCTTTACTCTTTGATGCACACCACTCTTGTGGCCTGCCATAACAGCAGCATTGTCATAGCATGGTGACCTGCAATTTTCTGCATTCATATCGTCTTTTTTTAATTGCTCCAATATTGTATCGGCTAAGCTAGCTGCATCCTTATTGCTGAGTTGGATAAAGCGAAGAAAAGGTTCTTTTATATATACAATTTTATTCTACCTCAGACATTTGTTCGCAATGGGCTAAATCTGGAGTTGAGTCAAAGATTAGTCCATAATACTTTGCTTTATGTATCTTTTCAAGCAAGTTAGCACAAACAGTGGATGCTATGATATAAATGAACTCGTTCTGAATGTTGGGTGAAAGATATGTAGTGAATCCAGGATGGCTCTCCGCAAATTTTAAATGATCTTTAATATCAGGGTCAAAATTGGAAACTAGTTTTAGTAAACTAAGTAAATTTCCTGAGTTAGCATTTGATTGAAGTGACTCTCGGTGTCCTCGCAAAGCTAAATTTTGCATTGCAAGGTATTTGATGAAGTGCAACAGACTTTTAAAAATATCACACCACTTTTGATTTTCTCTTTGGATTTGTTGTTGAAGTTCTGCATCAATTATTTCTCTATTGTAAAATAAATTTTGTTTCCAGTTCTTTCCATTGGGTAAAGCATAGCTTGTTGTTTTTTTTTGAATTTTCATGTACATTCATTCTCTCAGGTGCTTTCCAATAATTAAACCCACTTTCTTGTTCCAAACTAGATTGGTTTTCGCATTTTGAAAAAAGATAGTGAAGAAAGAAGATAGTAAAAACAAAAGGCAGGTTTTTTGGAAGGCGAGTAAACTAACCATGAACGCATTATTTCCTCACCGTGACGATTTCCTAATTTTTTA